TATGGATTTGGTAAATTCGTTCATTTCTGATCCGAGAGTATGGAGTAGGTAAAACGACTAATCTTAGGTCCGAGAGTATGGATAGCCTCGTTGCGAGGATCGACGGGGTGGGATAAGAGTTGTTTATATATATGTATGGTGAAATTGTATATTTTGTGAATTTTAAACTATATATATGGTATAACATTGTGGGATTGAAATCCCTATGTGCTCACCAGGTTTCCCAACCTGACCCACTCAGTTTATTTATATCACAGGTGTTGATATGAAGTGACATTACACTGAGAGATTTAAAGAGATGTAGACCACTAGTGTGAATAATTGTAAGTTCTGTTTATGCTTATGTTCATGTATTAACGATGACATCCCAAACGTTTTAAAATGAAATAAATACGTTTCTTCGAAAATGTTTTAATAACGTATTTACCATGTTTTTCTAGGAACAAATTCCGCAACCTTTTTATAAAATAAAGTACTCTGATTTTTATAAAACATAAACAAAATCGGTCTTTTCTGGCCGTGATTTTGGGGATGTCACAACTATCAACAAAAGCATCTTAGTTATCCACCTGTATTCTGATAACTTCACTTTAGGCTCTAAATTAATTTATTTATTTTATCGATTATTGCTACTTTTTTAGTATAATTAAGAGCTTATTAGTAGTATAAAACAAGATTATTGCTACTTTTTTAGTATAATTAAGAGCTTATTAGTAGTATAAAACAAGGTGTCTGTTTTTCTTCCTTAGTTCCATGTCATACCCTAAATGAACATTGATACTCATGAAGAATACATCACTGCTATTCAAACAAATATATCTTTGAGATTTTTGAATATTCTAAATGAAAGAGAATTCAAATTTTGTGAAAAGTTGTGGTGACGTCCAACATCGATCCTATCTTTTTTATATACAATTATTCAAAGATCTTCCTACACTAACTTCTTAGCATTACTGAATGTGCAAGAAGGGCAAGTGAAATTAATCTCAAAGCTTTTCTAGGTTTGATTTGGTTTTCAACATCTAAGGAAAGTGAAGAATGGGCTTGAATGAGATTGTGTAGTTAACTCTTGTTCCCCTGTTTCTATTTGATAGTCATCTGTTTAATATCAAGTCTCCACCTATTGCAATCACAAAAAATGTTTTTATATTAAAATAAAGTCATTTAATTAAATTAAAAAAAGAAAACAAAAAAATAGAGTGCTAGGAGTTACCACTCCCTATAAAATGTTAAGATTGAGTGTTAAATGGTAAAAAATAAGGTGACACTCCAAAATATGACTTGCCAAGGTGTTATGAGTGTTATCACTCCCCTTAGCCTAAAGGGAGTGGTAACACTCCTAGCACCTTGTCATATCACTTTTTTGCTTGCTATGTCATCTTTTTGTCTCAACGCCTAAATCGAGAGTGGTAACACTCCTAACACTCTAATTTTTTTTCTTATTGAATATTAATAAAATTATACTTTTTTAAATATATTTTTATCAAAACCACAAACACTTAATATCAAATAAATTATATTTTTTAAAACACAACATTTCATATTAGCTTAAAAAAGTTGCAATAAAGTTTTGTAGGATGGTTTGAGCCAATTCTAGAAACTTATGTTGTAAAAGAAATTGTAAGTTGGGGTCGAATCTGTCATAAGGCTAAAATCAAGGGACCAAAACTGCCAAATCGTGAAATCCGTGTCATCTTCCTCCTTTGCTACCTCACAAACAACTTGATAATATTTCTCTTTTTTTTTAACCTGTAAATTTTGATTTCATGGAAACAAACCCATTTGCCAATCATATTGTTTCAAGTCTTTCTCTCTCCTCTCGCTAGACCCTTGGCGAGTTCCTGCTAATGAGCTTCATAGCGAATATTGAGGAGTGGTGTAGCATCTCTTGACGAGATCACTCCCTCAAGCTTTATGGTGAAATTTCTTTAACCATTCACATGCTTGCATATTCTACTTCCTAAGTTCCACCATAACATATTCAAAAGATGGGAGAGTGCACGTTGTTGCACAATTACATAAGTTTTGGTAAGTTGGCCCATCCATCTAGGCTTCATATTCCTATGTATGGTGTATTAAGTAATTATATGTGCTCACCTCAAGGGGACACATCTCTATTGTTAGAATTACACCCTTTTACAAATAAGACAATCTATTAATATTAAGTTACATGTGTTAGCTTAAGTGCAAACTAAAACATGAAAGTGTTTTTGGTACCTTTTGTCTGTCTATAACAAATATGAAATTTGGGTTTACCTGAAGATCGTGATCATCATCCACACACTCTTTGAACCATGTCCATGAGTTTAGAGTGTCACTTTCAAATAAGCTTATGATCATAAATAACAATTATGTTGTTTCAAGATTATGTGAAAGTGGTTCTTGACAAATCTTCATGATTTTTGGTCCTGAACTAAATGACAAGAGTAAATTACACGAATGGTCCCTATGGTTTGGGGTAATTTGCGTGTTTGGTCCCTAACTTATTTTTTTAACTTGGAAGGTCCCTACGGTTTGTTTTGTTACGCGTTTGATCCCTACTGTTTATTTTTGTTACACATTTGGTCCTTATCTTATCTAAAAGACTATTATTTAAAAAGGAAAAAATGATGGGGTAGGTGAGGTAAGGTGAGGGGGTGGGATTAGGGGAGTGTTTATTTAAATAAATTAAAAAAATCAAGGGCATAATAGTCTTTTTAGGTAAGATAGGGACTAAGCGCGTAACAAAAACAAACAGTAGGGACCTTCCGAGTTAAAAAAATAAGTTAGGGACCAAACACGCAAATTACCCTAAACACATGGACCATTTGTGTAATTTACTCAAATGACAATAAAAAACAATTATGAGTAATAGAGATGGGTAAAATGACATCTCCTCATGTGACATAAGGAAAGTTAATGGAAAACATAAGTTAATGTGAGGTACCAAAACCACTAATTTAGTTGGAAATAAAGACCAAACTTGCAACAATCACCAACTTTGGACTAAATCTGTAATTTTGAAGAAATTTTTGGGACCAAACATTTAATTTAATCTGTTTTTATGCATGAATTTATAAAACGTTCATATTGGTTAATTAACATTTTTCTTTATTTATATTACACTTACTACTTTTTAAATGATAATTTTTTTATCAACTAAGGCTGTGTTTGGCGCGCCACAGCTAGTTGATAAGCTAACTTATTTTTCGAGCTTTTTTATGTTGTCGTGTTTGGTAAGCCAAAAAGTAGCTTATAAGCTAGCTTTTTGAAAAGCTACTTAGACTAGCTTTTTAGGAGCTTTTTAAAATTTTTCTAAATACACCCCTTAATTAATTATAGAAACACATATTCTTACATGTCCTTTTATGTAATTTTATATATTTCAGCTATTTTTACCAAACGTTATTTTTTATCAGCTAGCTTTTCAGCTATCAGCTAACTTTTTATTTAACAGCTAGCTTTTCAGCTAACAGCTAGCTTTTCAGTTAGTCCGCCAAACAACTAAATCGAAATGAAGGTTCTGTTTGGCGTTTTATTTTAAAAAACTAGTTTTTAACTTATTATTTTTACCAAACAACTAAATCGAAATGAAACATTACAAATTAATACATCAAGAGTTTATACTACACTTATTGTAAACAAATAATGGCCTACGCAGAAGTCACACTGCCATTTTGATAAGTTTTAGTTAGGATTTGGTAGGGTGTTTATGTTTTCATTTTAAAACAACTTATTAATTTATTGATTTTTTGAAAAATCAATAAGTTAAAAAATAAGTGTCTTTCAGCTATGTGAAAAAGCTTTTTAAAATAACTTTTCAAAAAATGATTTCAATAAGTTACAATTTGTAATTTTTCAAAACTCCTTATAATTATTTTTAATGTAAAAATTTAATACCCATTAAAATATATATAACTTAAGACAAATATTTTTTAACAACTTATTAATTTTTTCTACCATAAAAACTACCTTAAACACGTTTTAATTGTTTTTTTCTCATTACCATAAATCATTAAGTCATTTTGTCTAAAAAATCATTTTAAGGTTCAAAATGAAATCTCAAACACTCTGAAAATGATATATAAGATGCGTTGATTTCTTAAAATATTATTTAAAGAGCAAACTCTCTTATCTATACTCTCCAAAGTTGGAACCATAATGAGTGACCGATAACCCATTTTTTTAATTGTAAACAAGCATCTTACAATGAAATTGACATAGATCATCCTGTACAACTTGTTTTTTTTACTGTAAACATTTTTATCCAAATAATCTTTCATTTGACAACTAATGAATAATATTACTACAATTTATTTTTTATTTTTTGTTTAATAACAACTAATGAATAATATATATATATTTTTTATTGTAAACATTTTTATTTAATAGAAGAAACACGTGCTAGACTAATCTTAATCATTCATATTGCAACAACTCATTTATTTGTTTATACCACAACTTGTCGTAAAATAATATTACTTATCCAAATAATCTTTATTCAACTAACAATTAATAAAAAAAAAATCCACGTGGTTAGCATACCTACCATATATTATTTTTGGTTCCTAGGCTTTAAAAACGAAAAACAAAGACCTACTGAATATATTCTGATTTGAATCTTCGATCTTTTACACCATGTTCCTATGTTTTTGAGTTCAACCTAACCAAAAAAAATTGATTAAAGCAAGAGAAAATAAAAAAAAATTGAAATTCGTGTGTTTCATTAAAAAAAAGGAAAAAGAAATAAATCATAACTTGGAGGATTTGATTTTTTTTTTTTTTTTAATTTAGAAACATAAAATATAGTTTTTTTCCTCTTATTTTCTATATTTTTTTTATGTATGTATTTATTTAGGGGGTGTTTGGTTTGGCTTTTCAGGAAGCAAAAGTTCTTTTTGGAAAAATCATAAAAAATCATATTTTCCTGACTTTTCCAAAAAATTCATTTCTCCTTGTATCCAAATCCAAAAGTAGTTTCTAAAATGCATTTGACAAACATCTTTTCTTTCTATTTAAAAGGACTTTTGGCTTCTAAAAACACCCTCTTATTTTATAAAACTCTAAAACTAAACTTAAAAGAAGTATTTGGTTCGTTCCTAACGGATCCCGGAATATGCCATTTTATTGTTGAAAAAGACTGAACCGGCGAAAAAAAGGAGCTTAAAAGTGACGCAGAAAACCCCATTCCTTTTCTGTACATTTTCCAACGACTCCACTTGTGCTCCAATTCAGATTTCCAGTCTACGATGCCGGAAGAGACGACGTCCATAGATTACGTAATGGAGGCCGCCTCCGGTCCTCATTTCTCCGGCTTACATCTTGATGCCCAATTCCTTTCTTCCCCAAGATCTCTTTCTTCCTCCCTACTTGCCGACTCAATCAAACAGCCTTTCGTCATAGGTATTTGCATCACAAACTGCTTTCTTTAAATCGATCACTCCTGTACGAGTTTAGGTTTTCTGATATGCCACTCAATTGCTTCTGTTGACTTTTTCGTAGGGGTTTCCGGAGGTACTGCTTCCGGTAAGACGACGGTTTGTGACATGATTATTCAACAGCTTCACGATCATCGTGTTGTTCTCGTCAATCAGGTTTGTATGCTATTATATGCAGTTTCCAGTGCAATAGCAAAAACAATTAATAGAGTTTACAAGTAATACTGGCCCCATTATCGATTGTGTACGATTATAATTAAGGTTCTGTTCGGTGCATAGGGAGGAGGGGTCCGCATTTCTAGCGCTGGCCCTGTCACTTGGTCATACTGTAACTTTTATGCATTTCAGGCAGGGCCCGATCAACTTGTAATTATAGTCTATAGATGCTAGAAAACAATAATAATGAATGTGAATGGTTGACCATTCATATACCTTCTATTGTGCAAAAAACTTCATGGTGTGATGCCTAAAACCTTTAGAAGGTCACAGCATTTATCATGATACTGATGTTAGGAAAGAGTGCCCCTATCATTACCTGATGTTAGAAGAGAGTTCTTGTGTAGTAACCAACCATCAGTCAGGTTGAGTTAGAAGTTTGGCATTCAACTGAGTATTTTTTTTACCCTAATTTTCTTAACTCATGTGAGAATGGGTCCAGATTTTGCTTATTTAATGAATTGATATGACATGGTTGATGTTGGATTTAGCTTATCATTAATTACAGATACATGCTAGATATGAGATTTCTGGTCTCTAGGTACTTTGTAATATATAACACTTGCTTTATTGTTCTTCCACTGTTCCAAATGGCAAACTTCTAAATCTGAATTAATAGTATCCTTGAAGTTTCTAATATTCCTTTCTTTGTTTAGGATTCATTTTATCGTGGCTTGACTGCTGAAGAATCTGAACGTGCCCATGAGTATAATTTTGATCACCCTGGTAATGTTCTCATTAACTTAGGTTGTGTCAGTGTTCAACTTGCTCATTCTTTGAAGTTATAAATAAAAAAGCTCTGTTGTTGTAGATGCTTTTGACACAGAGCAAATGCTAGAGTGTGTTGAAAAGCTCAAACAAGGAAACTCAGTACATCTTCCAATATATGACTTTAAAAACCACCGCAGGTGTTCTGAATCCTTCCGCCAGGTATTCACTTCTGAACATGTTGTCTTCAGTGGCACAATTGTAAATATTGTCGAAACTGCTTCATCTGACCATATAATTAGTGCCATGTGACCTTTTAAACTTGTTCTTTGTGTGCTTGTCAGGTGAATGCATCTGATGTAATCATCTTGGAGGGGATACTGGTATTTCATGACCAAAGGGTTCGTGACTTAATGAACATGAAGATATTTGTTGACACAGGTGTTTATTCTTTACCCATACTTGTTACCATGAATTTTATGGAACTTACATTATTCATTGACAAATGACACATACTTATGCTAGATGCGGATGTGAGGCTTGCACGTAGAATAAGGCGAGACACAGTTGAGAGGGGTAGGGATGTCAATTCTGTCCTTGAGCAGGTAAGCACCACTACTTTTTGAATGATGGTTTAGTACTCATTGTCATTAACCATATGAAACTATACAATGAATAAACATTTTATTTTTGTGTGTTGTGCAGTATGCTAAGTTTGTAAAACCTGCTTTTGATGATTTTGTTCTTCCATCCAAAAAGTATGCTGATGTCATCATACCACGAGGTGGCGATAATCATGTTGCAATAGACTTGATTGTGCAACATATACGCACAAAGCTTGGTCAACACGACCTCTGCAAAATATATCCAAACGTATATGTGATTCAGTCAACATTCCAGGTATTCCTTTACCATTTAACCTAAAGTAAGGGCATTATGGTCATTTTACATGGGCGACCCCTCTACCCCTCCCCTATATGTAAAATGGCTTTAGTCGTGGGGGCTAAAAGCGTTAGGAAACAGGGACCAAAAAGGAAACAAGATTCCTTTTTGGACCAGCTCCAGAAAAATTCACTATATCCCAGGGACTAAAAGTGTAATTATGCATATGGAAATACCACCAACCAAAGAGTTGAAATAAAGTCTTAGAAAGTAGCTAGTATGAATACACAACATTCAACTGGCTACATATGTTTGTATTGTAATATAAGAGGGCATTACATTGATTCAAGATCTGTGTTACAGATTCGAGGAATGCACACACTGATTCGAGATAAAGATATTTCAAAGCATGATTTTGTATTTTACTCAGATCGACTAATTCGATTGGTACTCGACTCTCTACCCTATTTGAATTTCTGTAATTTTGAGTTTTTATTACTGATTAAATGATATTGGTGTCAGGTTGTGGAGCATGGGCTTGGTCATTTACCGTTTACTGAGATGCAAGTGGTCACACCAACAGGTATTATGATGGTGGTTTGTTTTTTTCTCATGAAATTATTTATATTGCTGGAGATTAAAGTATGTATAAATGCCCCTGTTCATATTTGTTGCAGGGTCGGTATATAGTGGAGTTGACTTTTGCAAAAAGCTTTGTGGTGTCTCTATTGTTCGAAGGTGAGTAATATGATTTATTAGTTTTTTTTTTATTTTTATTGTATCGATTTCATGTAGGAAAGCTTTGAATTTCTATTATTTGTTTGTTTTACAGTGGTGAGAGTATGGAGAATGCATTGCGTGCATGTTGCAAAGGTATAAAAATTGGAAAAATCTTGATCCACCGTGATGGTGACAACGGGAAGCAGGTAAATAATATTTCATTCATTCCTCTAGTATCATATGTGATGTGGCTCATTTTCCAGAATCATAAATAAATAAATAAAACAAATTATCTTCCATAACACATGCAGCTCATCTATGAAAAGCTTCCAAATGACATTTCTGAAAGACACGTGCTTCTCCTTGATCCAGTTCTTGCTACAGGTTAGTTAGTTTACAAGATTAAGTCATGTCCCATTATTTAAGTCGATTAAGCAAAAAAGAAACATGATTTTATTGTTATGGGGGAACACTGCAGGTAATTCGGCTAACCAGGCAATTGAACTGCTGATACAGAAAGGAGTACCGGAATCATACATAATATTCCTCAACCTCATATCAGTGAGTTTTGCGTGATTTGGAAATGGTTGTGTGGTTTATGCTTTATATTGGAATGGACTAATGGTGTTGTGATGTGGTATTTATTGTGTAGGCTCCAGAGGGAATCCATTGTGTTTCAAAAAGGTTTCCAGCGGTGAAGATAGTTACATCAGAGATTGATGTTGCTTTGAATGACGAGTATCGTGTCATACCTGGTCTTGGGGAGTTTGGTGACCGTTACTTTGGCACTGATGATTGATTGGGTGTAACCAACCATCTGTCATGATTTTATTTTTTACTTTTCTCCTGAGCAGCAACCAGCCTTAAAGGCCGGGTTTTGCAATGGAAGAAGTTTCTTCATTCTGTACTTGTAAGTGGTACCCTCGTGTGTGTTTGGTGGGTGGTCATTGGGTGTATTTGCTTGTAAATATTAGCGCCACAGGGCATGGATTTTACACACACGCTTTTTTGGGGGGCCAGACCAGAATTGATGTTTTAGGAAGTTCAAATCAAATATGGACATCATCATCATCATGCTCCTTTGATTTCTTTTATTTTGAGTAGAGGACATTATATTATGCGTTGCTTTGTTCAAATAAAATATGGAGCATCTAAGACTAATAATCGTATTTGCTGTTTGGTGTACATGTGTGCATGTTACCCATCAATAACATTCAACAACATAATTTGGTATTTAAGAAATAAATTTTCTAACATGAATATATAATTTACTAGTTTAGTGACCACGGGTTATAAAATTAATTAAAACTTTATAATAAAAATTTATAATTAATAATCAATTATTTTAAATAAATTATTGATTAAAAGATGTATCAAAAATTTTAAAGTTATTATAACTTCAAATTTAATATATATTTAAAAAAATATAAATTTGAATTTTGAAATGAGTTGTGTAATATATCTTATATGATACATCCTCCTTAATAAATAAATGGTTTTTTTTTTTGCTACATTTTAATTTCTTATGAGTTTTGATAATTGGTATTTTTGAAATAAATATTATTTACTTATTAATTTTTTGTTTGTTTGATTTTTTAAATTTAAAATCATATACTTATATATGTAAAGTATTAAATATCATACTTATGATATTAATTTGTAATATATACATTTATTTATTTCTTATTTTAAAATTATACATTAAAAAAAAATTATGTTTACGTTTTAATTTAATGTTTAATTTTTCTTAAATCAACCCGCGTAATATACGGGTTTCACACCTAGTGGTATAATATTAATTATGAGTTGTATTAAAGTGATATTTGACAAAATGATATTGAAACTATCTATTTATTAGAATAGGGATTACAAGTGAATTGGATGAGGGATGAAGATGTTTATTTTTGAATAATCTACCAATTGCACATCTTAGTTAGTATATTTAAAATAATGTATAATGGTATAAAAAAAATAAAAAATTGATAATGTTATTAATTATTGAATTTCTTGGTCATTGTTAAAAACTAGTAAATGAGCTCGCACATTGCTGCGGGTTTTTACATGTTTTTGTTGTGTATAAACCAATTATATTTTACAAAGCTGAAGCTTCATCGGTTAAAGTAACATTTAAAAAATAAAAATGATAAAAATGTCTTTTCAAAGTAGAGTAACAAACATATTAATAAGTCCATAAAATATTTTTGCCTAGTTAAAAATAAGACCAGAATTGGAAAAAACAAAGACTATCGTTTCCAAGTAATGTGACAACCCACAATAGCTGTTAATATATAGTAAATAAAGTTGACTAACATATAAACAATAGAAATTTTGGGTTAAAGTTTTAAGTATCTAATTTGAAAACGTTTAAGGAAAATAATTTGGATTTGAAGATAGTTTGTCAATAAATGGAAATAGTTTAGGGATCAGTTTCATAATTTAGATGTTTTGAATGCTGAAATTCAATCACACAATAAACCTTCTTTAAGATATGTCACTCAAGTTACAATCTTGGAGCATGACTCTAAGAATTGTTTTGGAACGAAGTATGACTCATCTTTTTGATTTAACCATTTCAACAATTCATGACTCCTCTTCTTTTTGACTTTTAAGGTTGGAATTGGACTAGAATCATTACCCTAAAATGTTTTTGAACCAGAAGCTAGAGGAAGAACTGTGGAGCCTAACCATGAAGGGCTCCAACGTAACCGCCTATACCGCCAGATTCTGCGAACTGGTGGCACTCTTTCCCAACATGGTTCATACAGAAGGAAAGAAGATGATGCTAGGCTTGAGAATCATACACTCTTCATTAGTAAAATGCGTTGAGTAGCCTTTGTCACATATCTGAGAAACGCTCAACAAACTATGCTTTAATTCGGGTGTAAAGTTGACATTTTCAAAGCCCAAAACCCTTCTAAATCACTCCTAGGGCTTAGATATGACTTGTGGACTTGCATATATGAGCTTAGAACACCAAAGCCTTGTCTTTTGAGGAGTAAACATGAGTTTACGGCCCAAGAACACTCTTGGACCCCCCAAAATACCAACCACATATACCATACACACATAACATGCTATATCATAACAAATCACAGAACAACCATGCATTTCGGGTCTACTATGTGACTGGTCCGCCGTATCGGGCCTTCATTCCACCTGGTCCACCCTCCAAGTCTAGTCATGTCCCTTGAGTCTGCAGAAAGAAGACTCCAATAACCTACTCTGATCAGAAAATAGTCGCTTGAAGTTAGAACTAATGAACCTTGGCCTAATAGGCTAAACTATTGATTTTAGCATTAAGATGTGTTTTATCATAAACCAAAAGATTTATTTCACTAATTATAATTTCACATTTGTCATTCAAAATAATACATTCAGTTTTTTCCATTACATGTTCTCGCTCTAACGATTCAATCTTAAGCTTGTGTCCAATATCTCTGATCGAGATAGCAGGTTGGGAGAGTTGGTGATTCAGGGCAAGAGGCCACAGCGTGGACCAGTTCTGTGGTATTTTGGAGCAAAAGAAGAAGAAAGTTAGAAGAAGGAAACAAGGGTCTAGCAAGTAAGTCTGTCATATATTGCAATCAGTTCGTGCATATTCAATTGCTACAGACATCGTATTCACTACATGGCAATTCAATAATCGTCTCCTTACATCCTCGATTCTTCCCGTCTCTACTCGACGAGTCGGGCAACAGAATCGTCGAGTCCCACTTGAATACTTAGAAAAATAAACATTAAATAACATACCAGAAATGGGGTCGTTACATGTTGGGCATGGGTTAGGACCAAAAGGGGTTTTAATATACGTATGAGTTGCATCTGGAAAACTCTTGAAAAATCTAAATTCCACCACCATTTATCACTAGAGTCCGTAAAGGAAATAAAGTGAAACCTATTCGATAAGTAGTACTGTAATTGCGCTAATTCTTCTCCACCTCTTATATGTCTACACCATAACCATATCCAACCTTCCTCTTCCAACTCAACACATTGCTCGTTATCAGAAGAGGTATGGGGGAAACTGCGACCCAACTCGTCAAGTCGTATGCGCGACTTGCTGAGTCCCTCCATGTCCAAAACTATTCAGTTGATACCTGCAACACATACCCATATTATAACCTTTTTGGTCCTAACCCATGCCCAACACCCGTACATGACCTAATATTGGTCAACCCATGCCAATACCACCTGCAACCCATGCCAATGAGAAATGGTCTATGGATAACCTTGCGAATTCTTACATGAAGGAAATTTTGAGGCTTCACGGTGTTCCGTTAACGATTGTGTCAGATCGTGACAGCCGTTTCACCTCACGATTTTGGAAAAATCTACAAGAGGAATTGTACAAAATGCGCACAATAGCAAAAGAAATGAATAGATGTGCATAATAGATCTACCTTTATTGTACAATATGCACCACGAAGAGTACTATTAGCTATAGTAACTTATAGAAAAAAAAAATTAACTTGCATTTTGTATATATTTATAATGTTACTAAACAGAGGAAAAGACAAATTTACTTTTCTAATCATTAAACCATTTGCAAAGAAATAACAAAAAAATTAATAAAATACAAAAATAATCTATGGAATCGTAGGTGGGCTCTCGTGGGCTCCGTTTTTGCTTACTGGACTGAAATTTTGTTAAAAATCTAAAAAATATTTAAAATTTTGTTATTTTTGCATGACACGAAGTTGTAGATTACATCAATTTTGTAAGCACAAGCTCATATAAGATTTTTGAAATGGAATTCGATTTTGTCTTGCAACAATGGTAAAAATAATGAAAAAAGAAATTATACTTTGAGGAAATTATAGTCCGAATGTTGAAATCGAAGCCCATGAAGGCCCATCTCTGGTTTCATTGACCATTTTGGTCATTTCTTAAACGGAGTATTTTTAATTATGTCCACTAAAGTAAACCTGCACATTTGCGATACCAAACCGGTTTTGGATCGGTTTCGAAACGGTTCAGTCTTTTTGAGATCGGTCTCGAAATGGTCCGGTATTTTTTCAGACCGGTCCCGTTCAGTCTTTTTTCCATCCGGTCTTTTTTTCAGACCGGTCTTTTTGCCGACCAGTCTTCTTTTGGACCGGTCTTTTTCGGTCTCGTTTCTCTGTCTTTCCATATGCCTTTTTCGGTTCGATTTACAAGTTTTTTTTGTTCGGTTTTGATATTTTCGATTATTTTGTTTTGGTTTCGAGTTTTTTCCATTAATAAATATGAGATTATCACCAAAATAATAAATTAATAATTATTAAAAATGATATTTTAAATTTTATAAAAGAAAAAAATAAAATAAATTAGATAGTTTGTGATTAAAAATTGTATAATTAACACAAAAATTATATATTTATAAAGTTTGGTTACAAGTTTATTTTTCTAGACTGGTCTCAAATCGGTCCAGTCTTTTTCAGGACCAGTCTCCGAACAGTCCGGTCTTTTTTGGACCGGTTCAGGACGGTCTTTTTTAGGACCGATCTTTTTTCGGTCCGATCTCGTTTTAGACCGGTTCTGTCTCGGTCTTTTTTTGGATCCAGTCCGAGACCGATCTTTTTGTGCAGGTCTACACTAAAGGTGTGTTTTGACAAAAGTAGTTGGTGGTTGTTAAAAACTTTTAACTAAATATGAAACATAAGAATTAAAAAAAAACAATTTTGGAAATTGATTAAAAACTCAAAAGTATTTTTTTTTCTTAAACGCTATATGAAAGTAATTTTTAGATTTGAAATGTTTTATATGAATTAAAAGCTAAAAACCAATACTTGCAAACAAATTTTTTTGTTTAAACTAACATTTATGCCTAGTTCCTAACTTTTAGTAAAGAAGGAAAAGAAAAGAAAGTAAGAAGAAAAAAAAAAAAAAACGAAAAAAATTATCTTTTGTATTCCTTTTAAATCGTAGGAAAATGATAATTTCATTTTCTTTCAATTTCTTCGTTTAATAAAATTCAAAAACATCAATTTTCAAACAATCATTTTTTTTCTGGCTCTACTCATTTTCTTAAAATTTAAAAAAAAAAAAAAAAAAAAAACGCCCTTATTTGTCTTTTTAGAGTAAAAATTACAGCCATGCCATATTACGGTTTTGCCCCCAACGGACGGAAAAGATTGTGTCTGATACATTTATCCATTCGCGCGCCACCAGTACGCACTTTACGGCCACCGCGGACCAAATATGTCCGTCTTCTTCCTCTCTGCTCCACCTTCGATATCC